ATCCTTATCAGTCCTGACTTAGCATACATGTCGATAAGGTAACTATTCATTCCTTCAAACTCAATCCCTTGCCTGATAAGGAAACCATGAGTCTGCTTCCCTATCTCCTTGTTTCTAAGATTTGACGCAGCAGAAAGCAAAGCAGTCACAGTTATTGAATCAAGCTTAAACCTTTGCTTCTGCATCTCGTAAACCAGCATCAATCCTTCATCATCTAGTCCATTTTGAACAAAAGCAGAGATCATAGTGTTCCATGATACAACATCTCTCTCTCGCATCGAATCAAAGACACCAAACGACTCGTACACAGAGCCACACCTTGAGTACATAGCCATCAACGAGTTAAATATCACAATCGGCAGCTCTTGAAAGTTCTTGCTCACAAAACCATGAAACTGCCTTGCTAATTCCACTTCCTGCAGAGCTGAAACCGCACTCGCTGCTAACAGAAACGTCACTTCATCAGAAACAATCTCTTTTGATCCTATTGCTTCAAGAAAAAGCTCAATACTTTCAATCAAGAAATCGTTCTGAACATAGACGCCGATCATTGTGTTCCACACCTCAATGTTCCTCTCAACACAAGAGTCAAAAACTCTCCTTGATGACTCAAGATCGCCGAGCTCTGCATACATGGAGATAGCCGAGCTCACAACAAACAAGTCCTTCACATACTCATCTCCCAATTTCAGCATCAAACCGTAAAAGACGTTAGCTTTCTTAACGCTTCTCGAACTCGACACCGCGGGGAAGACATTCACAAAGCTAACGGGACTCGGCTTTATCTCCATCCTCATCATGATCGCAAACTGCCTACAAGCTTCTGCATTTCTCTCTGTTTTCACATACCAAGAAATCAATGTATTCCACGCCACAACGTTCTTCTTACGCATATTATCGAACACTTTACGCACAACATCGTACTCGGGAGATGCCAATTCACTCAAGCAAGAGACGTACATGTTCATCAGAGAGTTATGAACAACCCTGCTCGAGTTCTGCAAGCAACGGATCAAATGGCAATGCACGGCTTTACCAGCTCTCAAGTTCTTGGTCTCAGCGCAAGCCTTGAGTGTGGAGGAGTAAGTGTAAGGGTCGGGGTTGGTGAAAGGCGCCGTCTTTTTCATCCGGGAGTAGAAGAGGAGAGCCTCGTGGGGGAGATTGTTGCAGATGAAGCCGATGATGATGGTGTTCCAGAGAACGGTGGTTGGTTTGGGAATTGTGTCGAACAGTTGGCGTGCGAGTTTCGGGTTTCCGTCTTGGCAGATTCTGCTGAGGCGGGAACGGATTGAAGCGGAAGGTGTTTGGGGAGTGAGGTTTGGTGGGGAGAAGGTGGTGGAAGAGTGGCGGGTTTGGGTTTGCGACGGAGATTGGAATGATAGTGGTGGTGGCGGTGGAAGAGGTAGAGCTGATCCGGCCATTGTGATGGAGATGATGATGATGGAGAAGAAGAAGAAGAAAAGAAGAGCCTTTATTGGCTTTCTCTTCACTCTCTTATGTTATCATCTTTGAAGTTTCAGTGATAAGAGTTTGTTTTGTTCGTTATTTTCCTTATCTCTCTCAATCAATAAAAACTTCTACTAAATACTAATTATAATATTGAACTTCACCAAAAATAGAAATAACATATGCTTTTCAAAATAAATTTAATGAAAGTCCTATGCTAACAATTTCTTTGATTATTTCATTAGTAAAAAAATTAAAATTTATAGATTTGGTATTTGTTGTTTTCTTCTAAATCAAATCTTCACCAAATTAACTCAAAAAACCTTACGATATTGGGCTTAGGTTGGGCTTAGCCGCTTATGGTTGGCTTGTATATTGGGCTCTAAATATTTTTGACTTCTTACCCAAATTTCTCTTGTAAGGATTTGAAGTGATATATTGATGAAGATGAAGGCTTTTTCATGAGCATCTATCTATCTATGCTTCTCTTCATTTGCATTCATTTTTTTTTTCATTATTCTAAGGAGTGATTCATCTTTGGATTAATCTTGGAATTATGACTTGATTATGTTTTAGGGTGGTAGTTGGTGATATCTTTTATTAGAATATTCTTATAAGTGCTATACATTTGGCTTTGATCAATTATAACTTTTTGACGTTTTACATAACAGTGACTAATTTTAGCAGGAGAAAAAATGGAAACAAAACATTAATTTTGTATAAAGACAGAAAATATCAAATATTCATATTAAAAAGAGAGAAAAAAAACTATGAAAGAGAAGTATTGAATCTTCGTAGAGGATCTTCATGAAACCAAACTGGAGTATTTGACATGTGAAGCCACTAAAACTTCCGTAAAGCAACTTATTCAGCTATAAAGCATCGAAACATTATCAGTGTTTCATACCAAAAAAAAAAACATTATCAGTGTTAATCTAAGAGATAAAGTCTTTGAAAGAATGGCCAAGTCTACAAACAAAATATGTACTGTTACAAACCCAAATCCGAACCCTTCGAAATATTAGTAAATATGTTATATGTATAAACAACTGTTTTTATTTTCTCATCTGTCAAGATTCTCTGGACATTAATTATTTTTGTCACGTATATGAAAATAATTTTGTTTGTACCGAAAACGTATTCACACAATAGCTGGCTTATATTTAAAACGTGTATATGATCAGTACCTCCAAATGAAATTTTTATTTCAAAGTTATCTAAATATAGCTAAGAAAATTTAGATTCAACCAAAATTTAGCAGAAGATATCACAGGATAAGTTGAAAAAATGACAATACGTAACAATATTTTCACATTCAATCGCGTCACAAAAATAATAGAGTTTGGATCCTTTTGTTCCACTACAATATTCCGAGTACATGCTTTTTTGGCATCTTGAGGTGCAATTATAAATTTGGCTTTTCTGGGGGACCTTGCAGAATAGACGTTTCGAAAATCAATAATACAGTAGGAAACACACAAAAATATTAGTAAAAATAATTAGGAATCTCAGATAATTAATTAGAAAAATATATACTTACTTCTGTCCTTTCAAATTCAATATCGTATCAATTGACATTTTGTTTTAAGTATCGTTTTCGATTAGATTTCCAAATTTAACTTCACGCCAAAATTAATTAAAATATATAAAATCGAACGATATACCAAAAACGAGTGTGTTATTGATTCTAATTATTGATGTTTTAGAACGCAAGCACGTATCTTATAGGTGACCTCTGCAAATGATGAAAATATAATGACTTTGGAGACTTTCAAAACGGCAACACTTTAGAAGTGCAAAGAAAATATCAAAAACGATGATTGTATTTTGATCCAATGTGTTTGCTCGTTTCTTCTAGTGATTGACCGACTTCAAGAAAATGTCAAAAACGATTATCGTTTTCTTCTGTCCCAATATTATTCTCTTTTCTGGTGCTGGCGATGGACCGAAGTGTAAACTATGAATCGATTATCGTTTTCTTGTCCCACTTTTTTGCTCTCTTCTGTTAGTGATGGACCAACAACGTGTCTTTATGATTTATCGATTGTACTCAAGTACTCCTACGACCAATTGTTTTTCTCTTTTTCTTTCTTTCTTTTTTGAATTATTGTTGCGGTTGTGAGAGCATGAAACAAAGAGACGAGTGGTATAGTCACATGCATGAATAGATGAGAATGAGACCCATTATTTATTTAGATTTTTTTCTGGCTCAAGCATGAGATCCATTCGTATTTTCAAAGAAAACATATCCATTTCTGTTACCATTGAAACCCTACTCGCCACCCTGTAACCACGTCCATAACTTAGTTTCGTTTTCTTCACCATAAATATATTGGAAGGACCAAACTTTTTGTTTTCGTTTTTTTCTGAAACATTGAAGGACCAAATATTGATACTTTCAGTTTCGTGATTTTCTCATACAGAGTGGGTTTATAGCTGAATTAGACGATAAATCTTATTATGTTTTGCGATTGTGTCATATTGATGTTAAAAAGAATACGGCTGAAAAAGGGTTCAATTTACGTATAACAATTACAATTCCTAGAGATGATATTTAGAAAATCGAATATATGATCACTAAATGATAAAAAAAAAAAAACATATCATTGTTGTATACGCGAAAGAATCAGTATAGTTGAAGTTTTAACACCTTTTTGGTTTTTAAACAGTACATTTTTCAGTTTGGTTTGTTTAAAACTGCGTAAAATTCCCTAAAAGTGATCACCGTTTGATTTTTTATAACATCTATATAATACTGTATTATTAGCTTTAATTAGTAGGTGTTGATCTATTTACAGTATACTTTTAATTCTTATTCTGGATATGATACGAGCAACCATCACTATAATATAGTAGTATAAGATTAATATTTAAAAAGACTACAAGAGCGAGCGTGTGACCCATTTCGTAGATTTGTGATTCTAGGCAAAATTTGATCCTCAATTTCTGTAAGTAGAGACACAAAGTAACACCCAAAATAAATTATCTAAAATCCTTATAAAGAAATGTGGACCTAACACTGAAGGATCAACAATATTGAGAGAAAATGATGTCTTTACTTGTATGTGACTATATAACATAGAGAATGTGAAGTGCCTCTTAAGTCAAATAATAATGCAATTTATTTCATAATTTGTCCCCACTGGCCATTACACTACAAAAAGATTTGCTTGCTCCCATTGCTTTCATCCAATAATTACAAAATATGGCTACCTCCAAGCTTATTTCCTAATCTTATGACAATAATATAGCGAAGGTTAATTTAGTGACTTCTAAAAGTTATAGAGTAGGCATTATCTAAGCTTAATAGACTAGAGCCTGAGAATGTTGGGAAATTTCTCTGATTTAATGTTGGATTTCATGATCTTATATATCTGAAATTTGGACAGGATCCTAAAACTAGTTTGCGTTATGGGTAAATTACATGAATATTAACTTCTTTCAAGAAAAATAAACTATCAGACAATAGTTATGGGTTTTATACCTTACCATGGTGATTTTATTTTTACTAAAATTTTCGTTTCCCCACGTTTGTTATATTGCAGCTTAACCATTATTTCTAATGTGCAAAATATTCAAATAAATTTGTATTTAAGTGTTAATAAAAATTGATGTTCATATATTAGTGGTTTTTCCCCCTTCAACAGACTACTGGTAAAAAATAATACTCCAGTAACAACAAAAATTAGAAAACTGAAGTCGGCAATACAGAATTTGCTAAAAAACAATTAACTTTTTTGTAAACTTAATAAGAAAACAGTATTCGTATGTCGGTATATACTGGCCTGCGTCTATATATGATATGTTCATATCTGTGCTATAATACAAAACTTCCACGTGAGTACATAATGAAATAATACTAACCTACATTTCTATATAAGATGTATATAACAAACGAATTTCCCACTATATAATAATTTGAAAACTGTAAGGAATAAGGAACGATAAAATGGAATGGGAAATGTGTAATTCAGTTAGTTAAGAGTCGAAGCAAAGTTGTGTTAAAGAGTTTCGAATTCAAAAGAATGTAAAAAGGAAACACGAGACTGCATCCAATATTTACAATAATGAATTATTACTTTTATATCCAATTTTACAAGACAAAAGTGAACTATTCTTCATATTAAAAGTATAATACCGGCTAAAGCGGGTCTTAAATCTACTAGCTAAGCTAGGTCGTGAATTCTTAATTATTCAAGTAGTAATTTAAAGAACCTAGAACTACAAACATAGGCCAATTTAGGAAAGTTTGACATAACCCTTTATTTTTCTCTTTCTGTAACTAAGTGACGTTAAATATGCTTTAATCAAATCTATTTTCAATCGCCTACGTTGCATTATGGTGCTTACTTCAAGACGTACAAAAAAAAAAATCTTCGAAGATTATCTATATAAAAGGGAACACAGTCATATTCCTACTTACCGAATCTCATTCTGTCACAGACACAAACCCATTCCACGAAGATGGGGTTTCGCACACAAAACCTCCCATTTCTCGTTCTCCTCCTCTTCGGCTTCTTTGCCGTCACCTTCGCTCGTCACTGTAGCCCAAGCCCTCCAAAACCAACACATCCAGTTAAACCACCAAAACATCCAGTCAAACCGCCTAAACCACACCCCCACCCTAAACCCCACCCCCACCCTAAACCCCACCCCTCCCCAAAACCTCCAAGCCCACCTAAGATCAAGCCTCCGCCAACACCAAGTCCCCCGGTCATAAAGCCACCATCACCAACACCACCTAAACCAAGTCCACCAAAACCAACACCACCGGTTCCAAGTCCCCCCATTGTAACTCCACCGAAACCAACTCCTCCGACAATGCCACCATCACCAACACCACCCATTGTAACACCACCAAAACCATCTCCACCGATTGAAACTCCTCCAAAACCAACCCCACCTATTGAAACTCCACCAAAACCTACACCACCCGTGATGCCGCCAACACCAACACCACCAAAACCAACTCCACCAGTTGAAACTCCACCGAACCCAACCCCACCGATAGTAACGCCACCATCACCAACACCACCAATGGTAACACCGCCAAAACCAACTCCACCCATTGAAACTCCACCTAAACCAACACCTCCCGTTGAAACTCCACCGAAACCAACACCACCTGTATCGCCCCCAACACCTAAACCACCTGTTGAAACTCCACCGAAACCAACCCCACCCGTATCTCCCCCAACACCAACACCACCCGTTGAAACTCCACCGAAACCAACTCCGCCCATATCGCCCCCTACACCTACACCACCCGTGGTAGCACCACCAAAGCCAACCCCACCCATAGAAACTCCACCTATAATGCCGCCATCACCAACACCGCCAAAACCAACCCCACCTATTGAAACTCCACCAAAACCAACTCCACCCATATCGCCACCAACACCAACACCACCGCAACCAACCCCACCCGTTGAAACTCCACCTGTAATGCCACCTTCACCAACACCACCAAAACCAACTCCACCCGTTGAAACACCACCAAAACCAACACCACCGATATCGCCACCAACACCAACACCACCAAAACCAACCCCACCCGTTGAAACTCCACCAAAACCAACACCACCTGTCTCGCCGCCAACACCAACACCACCCGTAGTAACACCGCCAAAACCAACCCCACCCATTGAAACTCCACCTAAACCAACCCCACCCGTATCGCCACCAACACCAACACCACCCGTGGTAACACCGCCAAAACCATCTCCACCCGTTGAAACTCCACCGAAACCAACCCCACCTGTATCGCCACCAACGCCACCCATCTCGTCGCCGCCAACACCAACACCACCTGTGGTAACACCGCCAAAACCAACCCCACCTGTCATGCCGCCATCACCAACACCACCAAAACCAACTCCACCAGTTGAATCTCCACCAAAACCAACACCACCTGTATCACCACCGACACCTACACCACCCGTGGTAACACCACCAAAACCAACTCCACCGATACCAACCCCACCTGTATCGCCACCAACACCACCTATGGTTACACCGCCTAAACCAACTCCACCTGTTGAAACTCCACCTAAACCAACTCCACCCGTATCGCCACCAACACCAACACCGCCAAAACCAACCCCACCCGTTGAAACTCCACCAAAACCAACTCCACCCATATCGCCGCCAACACCAACAAAACCAACCCCACCTGTTGAAACTCCACCAAAACCAACTCCACCTATAACGCCACCTTCACCAACACCGCCAAAACCAACTCCACCCGTTGAAACACCACCAAAACCAACCCCACCGATATCACCACCAACACCAACACCACCTGTGGTAACACCGCCAAAACCATCTCCCCCCGTTGAAACTCCACCAAAACCAACACCACCCGTTGAAACTCCACCTAAACCAACCCCACCTGTATCACCACCAACACCAACACCACCCGTAGTAACACCGCCAAAACCATCTCCACCCGTTGAAACTCCACCAAAACCAACTCCACCCGTATCGCCACCAACACCAACACCACCAAAACCAACCCCACCCGTTGAAACTCCACCAAAACCAACGCCACCTGTAACGCCGCCAACGCCAACACCACCTGTGGTAACTCCGCCAAAACCTTCCCCGCCCGTTGAAACTCCACCAAAACCAACCCCACCTGTCATGCCGCCATCACCAACACCCCCTGTTGAAACTCCACCAAAACCAACCCCACCTATATCACCACCGACACCTACACCACCAGTGGTAACACCGCCAAAACCAACACCACCCGTTGAAACTCCACCAAAACCAACTCCACCTATATCACCGCCAACACCAACACCACCTGTGGTAACACCCCCAAAACCAACCCCGCCCGTTGAAACTCCACCAAAACCAACCCCTCCAGTAATGCCGCCATCACCAACACCGCCAAAACCAACCCCACCCGTTGAAACTCCACCTAAACCAACCCCACCCGTATCGCCACCAACACCAACACCACCTGTGGTAACACCGCCAAAACCAACCCCACCCGTTGAAACTCCACCAAAACCAACTCCTCCTGTATCACCACCGACACCTACACCACCCGTAGTAACACCGCCTAAACCAACCCCACCCGTTGAAACTCCACCTGTATCGCCGCCAACACCAACACCACCAAAACCAGCCCCACCCGTTGAAACTCCACCTAAACCAATGCCACCTGTATCGCCGCCGACACCAACACCACCCATAGTAACACCACCTAAGCCAACCCCACCCGTTGAAACTCCACCTAAACCTACCCCACCCATATCACCACCAACGCCAACACCACCCGTGGTATCACCGCCAAAACCAACCCCACCAGTATCACCACCGACGCCAACACCACCTGTGGTAACACCGCCAAAACCAACCCCACCCGTTGAAACTCCTCCAAAACCAACTCCACCCGTATCACCACCGACACTAACACCACCTGTGGTAACACCGCCAAAACCAACTCCACCTGTATCGCCACCAACACCAACACCACCCGTGGTAACACCGCCAAAACCTACTCCACCCGTTGAAACTCCACCTAAACCAACGCCACCTGTATCGCCGCCGACACCAACACCACCCGTAGTAACACCACCAAAGCCAACCCCACCCGTTGAAACACCACCTAAGCCTACCCCACCCATATCACCACCAACCCAAACACCACCTGCGGTATCACCGCCAAAACCAACCCCACCCGTATCACCACCGACACCTACACCACCCGTAGTAACACCGCCTAAACCAACCCCACCAGTTGAAACTCCACCTAAGCCAACGCCGCCTGTATCGCCGCCGACACCAACACCACCCGTAGTAACACCACCAAAGCCAACCCCACCCGTTGAAACACCACCTAAGCCTACCCCACCCATATCACCACCAACCCCAACACCACCTGCGGTATCACCGCCAAAACCAACCCCACCCGTATCACCACCGACACCTACACCACCCGTGGTAACACCGCCTAAACCAACCCCACCAGTTGAAACTCCACCTAAGCCTACCCCACCCGTATCACCACCAACGCCAACACCACCTGTGGTATCACCGCCAAAACCAACTCCACCCGTTGAAACTCCTCCGAAACCAACCCCACCTGTTTCACCGCCGACACCTACACCACCTGTGGTAACACCGCCTAAACCAACCCCACCCGTTGAAACTCCACCAAAACCAACTCCACCTGTATCGCCACCAACACCAACCCCACCCGTGGTAACACCCCCAAAACCAACCCCACCTGTCATGCCGCCATCACCAACACCGCCAAAACCAACCCCACCTGTATCACCACCAACACCTACACCACCAAAACCAACCCCTCCTGTTGAAACTCCACCAAAACCAACTCCACCTATATCGCCGCCAACACCAACCCCACCTGTGGTAACACCCCCAAAACCAACCCCACCAGTAATGCCGCCATCACCAACACCACCTATTGAAACTCCACCAAAACCAACCCCACCGGTATCGCCACCAACACCAACACCTCCCGTGGTTACACCGCCAAAACCAACTCCACCTGTTGAATCTCCACCAAAACCAACTCCACCTGTATCGCCGCCAACACCCACACCACCAAAACCAACCCCGCCTGTTGAAAGTCCACCTGTTATGCCGCCATCACCAACACCGCCAAAACCAACCCCACCTGTTGAAACTCCACCAAAACCAACTCCACCCGTATCGCCGCCAACACCAACACCACCAAAACCAACCCCTCCTGTTGAAACTCCACCAAAACCAACCCCACCGGTATCGCCACCAACACCAACACCTCCCGTTGTTACACCGCCAACACCAACACCACCAAAACCAACCCCTCCTGTTGAAACTCCACCAAAACCAACCCCACCGGTATCGCCACCAACACCAACACCTCCCGTTGTTACACCGCCAAAACCAACTCCACCTGTTGAATCTCCACCAAAACCAACTCCACCGGTATCACCACCAACACCAACACCTCCCGTGGTTACACCGCCAAAACCAACTCCACCTGTTGAATCTCCACCAAAACCAACTCCACCGGTATCACCACCAACACCAACACCTCCCGTGGCTACACCGCCAAAACCAACTCCACCTGTTGAATCTCCACCAAAACCAACTCCTCCCGTATCGCCGCCAACACCAACACCACCAAAATCAACCCCACCCGTTGAAACTCCACCTGTTATGCCGCCATCACCAACACCGCCAAAACCAACCCCACCCGTTGAAACTCCACCGAAACCAACTCCACCCGTATCGCCGCCGCCAACACCAACACCACCAAAACCAACCCCACCCGTTGAAACTCCACCTGTTATGCCGCCATCACCAACACCGCCAAAACCAACCCCACCTGTTGAAACTCCACCGAAACCAACTCCACCCGTAAAGCCACCATCACCATCACCACCGGGAACGCCCCCAAAACCAACTCCACCACCTGTTTCTTCGCCACCAAAAGTTTGCCCGCCATCTCCACCTACTCCTTCTGCACCACCTAAACCTAAACCAAAAACTTGCCCAATTAACACATTGAAGTTAGGCGCGTGCGTGGACGTGCTTGGAGGTTTAGTTCACATTGGACTTGGGAAAAGCGCTAAGCAAGAGTGCTGTCCTGTTTTGAAAGGCTTAGTGGATGTAGACGCAGCCGTTTGTTTATGTACCGCCATAAAAGCCAAACTTCCCAACGTCAACCTCATTATCCCCGTTGCTCTTCAGCTTCTTGTCAACTGTGGAAAAAATCCACCACCTGGCTTCAAATGTCCCGCTTGATCAATGTATAGAGTGCTAATGTCTTTCGACAACTTTGAAGATTTCGTTTTGTAAGTTTTTTGTTGGTTTTACAATATGTTTGGTAATGAGAGGTGAATTTGTGTATGCACGACCTTAAATTACTTTTGTTTCCCTATTTAAAATAAAAGGGTTGTTTGGGTTTGCGATCTTAATTTAGTTGGATGTTTATATATATTATATATTTATAGCCATGCGCATTGCACTAATGCGTATGCACTGGTGAGTAACAGAATATATTTAGTTGTATATATACACGTCTATTTCCTTGCTAAAAAGCTATATATCATAGTTTTTACTCGCAACATACCTTGTACGTATGTCACCAAATCATATATATTGAAAATTACAAAAAAATATGTAATGATTAAAGAAAAATAATTAGTCTATAACTTCACTGGATTTTCTCTATAGTCTTGTTTCAAATAAATGAATTAGAAAATGATGTAATTTTACCGTTAACGTCATATTATACTATAAAAATTCAGTATGAAACTATACAATACATTTGCGCATATATTTGTAATTAATAGTCAACGGAAATTCGACAAAACATGTTTGTAAATAATTCATTCTTGCTATAAATTACTGGGAAGTAATTAGTTTCCTCCGATCGGAGATCTCTAAAGATTAAGTACTCTAGTTCCATTGTTGGTTAATTATGAAAACATGTATTCTTGTTTTGTAAAAAGAAAAAGATATGTATTCTTGTTGGGAGAAGACAAATGTATGAAGTTAACTTATGACGTTTCACAGTTCGTTAATAGAAGAAATGACGACATATTACATATCTCCGTATAATCCAAACTTTGAACTCATTCTTTCATCATCCATCTCTCGACTAGTCTTTTCGACAAAATAGAAATCAGGCCGAGTTTGTTGTGCTGGTCGAACGAAATAGCGATCATTGTTCAAAATTAAATTAATGGGCTATAGTTTTTTTCATTTCTTGTTAGTGGGCTAGATTATTTTGACGTATTTGATTCGACGCAAAGTGATAACTGTGTCTTCATGTGGGACGAATCCAAATCCAAACCCCTCAAAAATATGCATTTCATTGTCAACGAACACTGTATATTATATGAAAAATACATCATTATGTTTTGTTCGTTCTGAACATATATTAACGAAATAGCTGGCAAATTTCTAAAACATGTGGCAGTTCATACACACGAAACTTTTATATCAAAGTTAGCTAAACATAGCCTGTAATAAAATTCAAATCCAGACAAAAAATAGCAGAAGATATAAAAGGATAAGTTGAAACATTGACAGGACACACGATTATAAGTATTTTTTTCTTACTTACAATCGTGTCACAAAGTAGTAGAGTTCTTTACTTTTGTGCTACTATGTTTAACCATGTCTTGTTATTTTTGCAATATCCCATCCGTTAGTAAGAAATACACCGTTTAAATTATGAATCACAAAAATAGCAATAACTTTAACAAATTACTTTTTTTTTCTCTTCTAGCAATTATAATATCGTTCATCATTTTCGCTTTTGTTAAAATCTGTTTAGATATATAAATGGTATATACCAAAGTAATTAATAATAAAGGATTACCGATCAAACCCCTGATTGATGACCCATATTGATGACCCATATACATTACGATTATGTTACCTTCTTTGGCGTCTTGTGGTGCTAAATGATTCTTTTTTATAAAGTTGATTATCTGGGGAGTCTTGCACAATAGACATCTCGAAAATCAATAGTATTGTAGTATCTAGTTTATTGAACAAAAATGTACTTTTCTAGTTTTGTACACCTTCACAATTAGATATGTATATTTTACTCTCTGATAAATGTACCAAAGTAACTGTCTGGCCTCTCTATAAAATTAAAACTGAAAACATATATATTTTTAGAGACTCGAGTTTGGAAAAAGAAAATCAAACTAATTTTTAAAATCATTTGTTCAGTCGATTAGATATGAGTTGTGCTGGTTCTACTAAATCTAGTTTTGGATACAACATAATGTTTGAGATATATTAAAATACTTTAAAATTATTATTTTTGTTAAGTATCATCTCAATTTTCTATTGCAAAGTACGTAATGTTTTAGAGTTACGTTTTCACTTCTTCATACACATGTTTGGATTATTTTGCTCGTATTAAGATTTACTTTTTTATGATTGAAAAAATGTCTTAACATAAGTATTTTAGTAATAAGATATGAAACATTTTAACATATGTTATAACCATAACTCATTTTTGGTAAGACTTTCAAAACGCTAACACACAGCAAGTGTAAATAAAATATCAAAGCGGATTATCGTTTTCTGGTGTTCCAATGGACCGACGTGTCCTTTGGACTAGTACTCATGAGTACTCAGACGACAATTAGTTTTTCTCCTTTTTATATAAAAACCAAATAATGGTGGAGTCACATGCATGCATGAGATTCATTCACAACGTCACATTATCCATTTTTCTCTTCTTCTTTTTTCGTTTTAAAAAAGAAAATTCAATCCTATAAGTGACAGACTTCACGGGTTACACTGTTTCTACTACCTGCCAAATCCTACCCGCCACCTTGTAATGGCGTCTATAACTTTATTTTGTTTTCTTCACCGTCAATGAATCACAAGGACAGTCGAGTGAAACCCAACACTCTACGGCGGATCCACAAAATTATAATACTGTATTTTAAAAATTGAACTTGAAAATAAATGAGACTTTACTTTGTGATACACTAAAATCACCTTATTGACATATTGTTAACACAAATTTTCAAAAATATCGAATATGGTAAGAAAAATTGTTCAATAAATCGATGACATGTATCAAATTTAAATAGTAATATCAATGACAATTAAAAAGAAAAACTTATTAAAGCTCTATAATACGGGAAAGAATCGGACAAAAGAAACATTTATCTCCTTTTTTAGAAAGTAAATTTAGTACTGTAATTTCAAAGTGAAAGTGTTAATTAGAAAAAAAATTATCGTTTGATTTTACCAATCATATACTAGATTTAGCATTAATTAGTAGATGTTGTTGACCTAGTTACACTATATTTGAAGCCCTATGCTG